TTATAAGCTATGTAGTGGGGTTATCGGATATGCTTTTTACGAGCATCTGTTTGTCCGCTGATTAAAAGTTACTGATCTAGAGGAGGTTTAGTAGTTTAAATTACCAATTGCCTATAAACATCTGTATGTACCTACTGTGCGAAATGACTTGAATTACCAGTTGCCTATAAACTTTGTTCTTGTACCTGCTGTGCGAAATGACTTCATGGGGGAATGGATTGTTTTCGCAATCGTCACTTCAGAACCCTGGACCACTTTTTAGATAAGAATTTTTGGCTCAGCATGCTCCCTTGTTCTTTTGCGGAGAATGCATATGAACTTCGTGATTTGCTTACTCTACAATAGTGTTATTGCAGCCTCCAAGCTTCTTAAATTTCAAGGGGTTGGACCGTGTTGTGCCTTTTTTGGCCCCTTATTTCATTTTCATTGACTTCCAGTTGAGCAAACGTAATCAGTGGCTTTAATTTTTGTAGAGTAAGACATCTTCACCAAATGCTATATGGTTTATTCCAACCTCTTGTTTCTTTTTAAAAAAAAATTTCAGAAAAAGTTACGAACTTACTAAACAACCTGACATTTCCATAGAAGTGTGGGTTGTCCGATCAACTATATTTTTGATGTTTTCAGCTGCATATAAAAGCTCTTGGAATTCCTGACTTGATCGATATGAAATTTTTTGAAAATCGAACCAACGGTCAAAGCAAAGGGTTTGCTTTGCTTGTTCTTGGGAGTGACGCATGTAAGTTTTCCTTTACAGTTACTGTCTTTAGTTGCTCATCAGCTATTGTTTGTATGGGAAGAAAAAATATCTTTGATCTTCTCAAAAAAAAGTGAATGGATCATGTTGTTGACAGACTCAAAACTTCGCCTAACTTTTAGCGGTGCGCACAATTACTGAGCAGATGCCGCAACGCCAAATCCATGGACAGTCACCCGTAATCCTTCCATACACCAAGGCATCACTAAACCGTTTGGATGAAGCAACGTCGAAAATGCAAAGTAGACCGGACACTAAACAGAGCAAAAAGGTGTGTGCAATCTCTTACTCTCAATTATATATTAAAATGATGTAGAATTAATGCATATTTCAAGGACGAGGCATGCATGAATATGGGCACAATACGCATAGGTACCGTAGGGGGACCCACAGGGCCTCCACCAATCATGGGGCCTAGAATGGGAACTGTCGGACCTATGACTACTGGACCGATGCCAATGATGCAAATGAGAACGGGTCCTGGCGGTCCACCTATGGGCATGAACACTGCGCCAATGGGAGGACCTGCACCGATGGGACCAGGTGGAATGATCAGCAGAGGCCCAGTTATGATGGGACAACCTGTGAATCAAGTAAAATTCACTATGAATGTGAGAAATATAGAGTTTAGATGAAAATTGTGTTCGTAGGGCCCTATGATGGGACGTACCATGGGCCCGCCTGGAGTGGGCACAACTATAGCCCCCGTGCAGATGGGAGGCCCTGTTCAAATGGGTGTTGCCGGGCAAATGACAACGGGACCACCTCGTCCAATTGTTGGCGGTGCCGTTCCAATGCAAGTAGGGCAAGCTCCACCGATGATGCAGATGCAAGCAAAGTAAGTGTCCGGAGTTTTGAAATCGTTCTTAACAATATGAATTTTTCAAGCCGACCTCCTCCTGGAGTTCAATTTAATGGTGGCCAACAACCAGTGCTTGGAATGAGTCAACAGCAAATGTTAACGCAAGGCCCTCCAGGTGTGCGTACGATGAATGCCCCTCCGCAGGCTCCACAGCAACTGCTTGCACCTCATGGTGCTCATATCAATCCACAGGTAA